TTCAGATGAAAGAATATCAGCATGTTCAGGTTGATTGAAAACTTTAGAGCTCTTTATCTGTTTTTTCTCTAACAAAACATTTCCTCCTAAATTACAACAATTACAACATAGGTTTAGAGCTCTAAATTAAGCCATCAAGCATTTCTTTTAGTGAATTTATTTGTTTAGCTGGAATTAGCTGTTACCGATAACTTTACTGGTTTTAATGTGGAAAATAAGAGAACCACAATCCCAAGATGTGATTGAGTATTCCAGCATTTCTTCTAAGTAAAACAGGGTTTGCATTAGTTTAGTATATTATTTATTTATCATGGATAATGAAGTGAGAAGAGATGCTTTAAACCAGATTTAGTAAAACACTCTCAACCTACAGTCCTGGGTAAGTGTGCACAAGAATATTGAAAACAAAACAGCATCAGCACTTGGTGTATAGTTCTTATCTATTTAAATATTCAATAATTTTATATCTTTTATCTTTATAGAATAAATACGCTTTACTACTATCATGTTTGCTTTTTGGTCAAATTTCTTATAAGGATAAGACCCCAAACTTGTAAAATTGTGACCAAAGGAAGACCTGTCTAAACAACTTTATGTTGATTTTGTTTATGCTTTTAAGATAAGATAAGATAATCCTTTATTTGTCCCACAATGGGGAAACAGTAGGAAAAAAGAAAGAATACAATATATTTTTAATAAATCAAAAATGTATGTGATTTACAGTGAATGTAATCCTTAATTAATTTTACGGATAAATAAGTTTGATAAAAGACCAGACTTTCTTTTGTTGTGAGTGAACAATTTCCTTCATTAGAAAGGATTCACTCAATAAATCCCAAGATTGATTGAAACCGGCTATTTACATTTAATAATAAGGTTTAATATATTATATTACATCTGCTACATGAATAAACAAAACAGATCTATCAAGCTGAAGACTGGTAGAGACATTAATTTAGACTCCAATCACTCTTGACTTCTGCTAATCCTTCCCCAGGAATTGTCCTTTCTCTGATATTCTGTAGCTTCAGTTGTTTTCCTTGCAAAAACACCTGTCTAAACAGCAGCAAAGCCAAGAGCGAGGCTCTCCTGTCAGCACCGGTGACAGCTCCTGACAAAAATTCAGCAGAGACGTATTCTAAGACGTCCACTCAGGCGAAACAATACACGTGTGCAGGAATGACCCCACCTGGGCTGCTTCACTTGCCGCAGTATCATAGTTGTTTGTGGTCAAAGACAGTCCCATTTGATGGCAGCTGGGTGAAGATATATATGTGAAAAGTGTCTACAAAAAGACTGTTTGCTTTATTTTTTTTTTCGTTTTAGTTTCAGATGCACTTAATCCTTCAAAAGATGTAAGGATTTCAGTGGTACTGAGTCGTCAACAAAAAAAAAAAAAAAAACCTTGAAGTTGTGTGAGGGCAACAAAGTCCAGACTGTGAAGATGATTAATTAATACAGCTTACAACCATTTAAAAAGCTGTCCGTATCATCTCTCCAGAGTGGATTTAGGTGCTTTTTCAGTGAAGATTTACTGAACAAAGACCAGGTGCCTCATTAGCTACCAGAGATTAGCCAGGTCTGTGTAGACGAGGATCGCTGAGGTGGTCAGGTTTCTGTACCTCATACTTAAATTTCATCGCATGGACCTTTAATCTGTGATCCACTCCCTGGCAATGGTCTAGATCCCGTCATGTGCTGCTCACATGACCTCCTCCGGGGGCCTCTTCCTCTTGGATTTTGTTCTTTGCAAGAAGTGAAATATTGCAGTGACACCCAGTCCTGAATCTGTTACAAGCTAACAAAGGTTGAGTAATGACAAAGTCTGCACACATTCACCAGAGCTCACACTGAGGATCGTAAAACTATACCTCTAAAATGACCATCCCTTGCTGTTTCAAGGTTTCTGAAATGTTTCAAAATGCGTTTTTGACGCCAAGTAAAATACCCATTTAAATGCGTAATTTCACAGAAATAAAATATATACCTCAGTGCCTTTAGTGACACAATAAACACAATTGTTTAATTTACAAAAATGGAATAGAGTTATGTGAAAAGGTGCTGACACTTCTAAAGAGACAATTCTTAGTTTCAGACTTAGAGTGTAGACTTAGGTGCTTAGAGTTTAGGGTTTGGTGCTTCAAGCTTTCATCAGTCATTACGATTTGGAATAAAGAGACATACCTCTGTATATTATGGCTTTTTTTTTAATGCACCACACTGAACATGTATGTTGAAAGGTTGAAGAGTGATGGCCTACAGGAGATTTCTTCTGCATATATAGAGTATGTTTCTCTTTTCCTTGTAGAAACTGGAGTTTCACTCCCATTGAAGGTAGTTAGAAGTCAGACAGGTAGTAGAACAGGCAAGAGAGGACTCAGTACCTGGACCAAAAAGCAATCTCTATAAGGTGTCTAAGAACTGCCTGAGAGCTATAAAGCTACTATGAAACAGCATAGAAGGTCTGGGCCCATACCATGAGAAAGATCAGAGGCTGTGCCCCACTAAAAAAGGAAGGGAAGGTCTTCTGGCTGATGGCCAAAAGTCTGAACAGAAACCTTTTGGTGATCTGTTATGCTAGTAAGTTTCCAGAAGGCTGGTGCCCCTCGATTCTAAGGCTGTATTTTTATTTTAAACCAAAAAGCAATATTGGATACAATTGTTTAAGGAGGCAGAGAAGAGTAACTTCACGCACAACTTTTAGGAAGAGAGTAATCATATTCACCTTTATTTTAGGCTGAATTAGTTCATAGTATTAAGAAAGAAAACAGACAAGAATCTTCCAGCAGATAAAACCATCAACAAATACAGACACTTGTTCCAATCTTTATGGATGATTGATGTACATCTTCGCTGTGTATTATTATCATCAAAGCTTCTACAGTTGATTTATTTTTCTATTTGGTTTGATTTTTTTAAGGAGGGCATAGAAAAACTGGGATATTCTTTTCATTTAACCTGCAGTTGTCCATATTAGGAAACCTTAAGAAAGACCCCCATCTGTTGAGTTTTCATTATAGATTTAATTAAAATTACATTAAAGGTGAGTGTTTAAAAACGTGCCCAAAAGGGTCCTTTTCAAATTAACCTTAAATGGAGTATAGAGACTCTAAAACATGACTTTAGCTGACCTACTTAGAGCAGTAATTATACCAAAAAGAAATATATAAACATTTTGCATTTAAGATGGAAAAACTTTTTTGTTCATCAATATCTTCTATCCAGAACTCTTCAAGTGGAAAATTTTTAATATCACCTAATTTAACTTCTGTAAAAAAAAAAAAAAAAAAAAAAAAAAAAAAAAAAAAACAACCTCTTGCTATCCGATTATTAATTGAAAAAATAATGGACAGATTGATTAGCAAAATGATCTTTAGTTCCAGCTTCCCTACATGGAGATGTGCCCCTGGGCAAGGGACAGAAAACGGCCTAGCAAGCTGTTGATCTGTGTACAAATCGTTGCAATAGAGTGAATGTGGCTTTAGTGTAAAGCACTTCATGCAGCAGGTATGAATAGAAAACATTTAATTTCGTTTATAAGACAATCCAGAATGTTCCTTCAATTGTGTTATAATGGCAGTTGGAAGACAGCAGTAGGCGTCTATAGTTCAGAAAAATTGAATAAACAGGAATTGTGGCATTAGACCATGTCAACTGAAACATTAATTAGTGGTACAACCAAAGGAAAAACAGATAAGGGAAAATACTAATTAAAGCTCCATTTTTCATGACCATTTTTTATTTATGAAGCGACAATGCAAGCAAAATTAGTTTTCCATGTAATATTTCTTTATTTGGTAACAAGATGTCAAATATAACTCTACATTACCAAAAGTATACTTTGTTTACAGGATGCTCTCTGATAAGTGAGATGACTTATTGTACTGGTACATATTTTACAAGCATTGATAAAGCGACAATTTAGTTTTACATTTATTTTTTAACATCAAGCTGGCGTATAGCATCATGAAGATTCCATTTGGAAACAGATGTTAGAAACTGAACACATGGAGATGGACAAGCTAAAAAAAAAATTAAACACACATTTAAGACAAACAGGAAAATGCAGACCTTATTTTCATTCTCCAAGATATACCTTCATTTTACAACTGAAAGTAAAGCTTTATGGACTCTCAGGTATGCACTCTTGACATTTCAGCTCTATTTAGGCCTATCAATACTTCACAGGATCTAGCAGAATTAAAGAGAGAAAACAAAATATAGGAATAGCAAAATTATTCACCTGCATTTTAAATCAATCTAATAAAAACCTGGATCAATAAAACTTTGCAAGACGTAACTTAATGACTGATCTGCAAAGAATTTGTAGATTTTTCTTCAGTAACAGCAGGAATTCACTTCTGTTTATCAGTTTTACTGGTGAATCGAACAATTAGCAGAAAAGATTTTAGGGAAATCATAAAAGATGTTGATTTCACCTCGGTCACAATTAAACATTTGAAACTTAACATTAAGTGCATGTGGCAAACAGTTGTTAATGCTGACTCATGCTGACTCTATGAAACGAGAAGCCTAAGCAAAAAAAACAAAAAATATACTCCTATACTGCTTTTTTAAATAACCAGCTTGACTCTAAAATATATATCAGGTAAAAGCTTTAACAGTGTATGAAAAATTGATAGCTGCACATAAACTTAAAAACAAAAAATGAGGTCCCATTTTTTTATTTTGGTGAACCAGTGAAGATTTAAGTCCTGCTAAATATCTGAACTATGCGGCTGTTCTGCATCCCCACAGTATGACTGAAACAAGAATACAGAGACCCTGATCCAAACACTTTCTTATCCAGTTCACTCAAAATTCCTAACAAACTAATACTGACTGAAGACAATTTTACATCTTGATACATGTGTGTTTCTGTTGGAGGGATCACTGAACCGCACACATGGAGCTGCGAGGGGTGTTGACCGTCCTGGCTACGGTGTCCTGACTGTAGTTCACGATGTCCGCCTTTACCACACGCTGGAAACGTGGAAACACACACAGTGAGTTAAAAAGCAGCTGCAGCGATTGCACTGTTTTAAAGGAAGCTTGGGTAGTAGGCTACAACCTTGGACACCAAAGGATGTGAAAACTGAGGTTTTACTCTTCAAAACAGATTATTTATACAAGTTTAGAAAATGTTTACTTTTTTCACTTTCTGACAATAAATAAGACAAATTTCTTCTTGTTTAAGGTTCATTTACTTATATTATTTTTCTTTGTTTACTTTTATTAAGTAACTGTACATCCATCACACCTCCTTAGTATTTGATGCATGTTCTTTTTAAACAGAATAACTTGGTTCAAACATTTTTTTTTGGAAAATATGCCCCAACTGTTATGATCCACCTGTGCATTACTGCAGAGGCCATGACCTCTGCCTGGTCTGCTTGTTTACATGATTAAGACTATTGGCGTGATCTTTCCATGTTTATGTGGAATAGCAGAATCATTTCTATAATTGCTTTATGTTTATTTTAAGTTGCTTCTTTTGCAAAAAAAAAAAAATACAACAGACTAACTGAACATCTTTAACAACCAGTAATATAATATATTTGGTCAGGATTGTAGAATCTAATGTTGAGCAGGCTTTTTCTTAGCCAAAGGTTAACAGAATGCTTTACAGCAGTTGCTGACTGTGAGAACATATGTGGTGTGCAGACATGAGCATGGAGTTGGTCAGACTCTGAATAAGCATTATCTAAATCTGCTGAGCTGTTTCTTTAACACAAGGCTCAACATGTATGCCAACATTTCAAACTCTGGTTGAAACAAAACATCTCTATGTATCTTGAAGTGGAAGTGACCATCAGGACCAGTTAAGGGGGATTCACACAGCAAGATAATCATGACAATTAAATCATGACCAGATATCAGGGCCTCTCGCTGCACTGTGTGATCAGTTCTGCTCAGCAGAACGCTAAAACTCCTCTAGCAAATCAGGGAAAATCCAACTTGATGGAGTGTCTTGTCCCATTATCCTCTCCTATGTGGTGTACCGTGATTCAAGCTTGTTCAAATCAGTTTCTGAAGTAAGAAAACCTGAACATTTGCTGCTCAACGCGCTGCATCAAGCAATCAGAGAAGCTGATCCAGGATCTGGCTGGGAGACAAACACTGCATCCAAACAGTGATCTCTCCTCCTGCAGAGCTGTCAGCATAAAACCATGAAAACTGAACAATATACATAAACAGGTTACTCTTCACTTAGGGTTACATGCTAGGTCAATCTTATTTTCATGTATGAGGGAAAACAAGAGTGCTCTGATAACTCCACTAACATATTTTCTTAACTGTTGTGAAACAGTTTAAGAATGAATACCTTTTAAATTCTGGTACTTGCAGTTACTACAACCTAAAAAACATTTTATATTCAATCCAGCTGGTTCAAACAGTAGCAGGAAATCCCAGAGTGACTGGTCAGCTTGATTGGGCTGTCACTGGTTTCCCTTTGCTAACATTCGCCCTGTATGCGGGGAATATACAGAGACCAACAACATGTGTTACAGTAGATGCGTCTGAATGCTTTGCTTCATGAAAGCATCAAAACCGGCTTGTGTGTGGTGTACTGCCCCTGTCATCTGGCTGGAGAGAACATGCTGTATGGTGATTTTTAATCATCATGTTTGGGGTCTCTTGTGTTGTGAAAATCACTTGGTCTTTTTTAAATCATGTTGTGTGAACAAGCCTTTAGTAAAATAAAACTGAACTACTTAAGACAAGATGAATGTTTTTGTCCCATGAAGGGAAATTTGTGTTGGGCAAAGTAGTACAGTCACAGCTGCATAGAAAAAAATAACAGCTTATAGGACATATCAACAATACAACATGAATACAAGAAAAAAGGTAAGAAGATGACGGATGGCAAAGAAGTAAAAAGGTGAACTACATATTTCTAGAGGGCATATCCTAACGACAGGGATCTAATTTACAACTACAAACCTACGGTTTACAGTGGATATAAGGTCTGCCCACTAACTGTAGAGACATACTTTCAATTACTGAAGCAAACAGATTTTGCTCTGCTGAGCGTTCTCATGTCTAATGGGGCCTTCATCCTGTGGGTAGTCCACCAGCTCAGCTTTCACGATCCTCTGAGCAGTGGATAAATGCAGCGGGACAGATGAAAAAAGAAAACAGAGCAACGGCAGAGAGAAGAATGATCAACAAGTTTAAAGGATGGGAAAAGAATAACAATGGAGTAAAATGAACAACATTAACATGAAAAACGCTACTTCTAAGTCATTCAGTTTAAAATAACTATAGAGGTTATTATACTAAATGAAACTGATATTGAACTGAAATAAAAATAAACCTCTAATAAGAAACAGGATGTTGAATATATGTGCTTTGTTTTTGGATGTTTTTTTTTTTTTCAAAAATGTTTGAAGCTAAGTTATTAGCTTCTCCGATGATACTGAAAAATATTATAAATAGCATCTTGATTAACAGAGCTTTTTAGACAAACAAAAGCTGAGTTTTAGACTAAAGTGGTGGTTTTATTTTTGGTCAAAATGTTTTTTGTCTATATTGATCATTTTACAGAGCAACCTTAACCTTCTTATTCTGCATGACTACAGAAGAGTTCCCCAGTTGCTTGTCTAATTAATGAGCCGCCGAAGCCTGGTGTCAGGGTTACTGAGTGATCTGCAGCCTCACTATCTGATCTGGCAGACAGAGAACCAAGACGGAGAGGGCTGCCAGCCAGATACAATACTGTCGGAGGTTGTGACCCTCATGTTCAGCTCTCTAAACATGACAGCTGATAATGAGGCTTTGCTGGGCCTACAGCTACACCCAGAGCCATGACCTGCTCAAGCTTCATGACACAAACTTTAAACTCTGTGTTTCCTTTACAAATGGGTGAAGTTTTTCTTATCTTTTTTATTCCTTGGAGGAGACTTTTTTTTTCTTATTTAATGCTCTTTTCTTTGTCTGTGCAGTCTTTAAGATTGGGATTTTCTCTTTCAGTAATGGAGTTTTTATTAATGAACGACTGAATTCTTATGTTTGGCAGGGATTGCTGCAAAATTTCTATGATTTATTCCTATCAGCTGGACTTCCACAGACAGATTCATTTCTTAATAAAAGCCATTACATGATCGCTTCTATATTATACCAAGGCCACCCTATATTACTTGAATCCAATTGTGACCATGCAATAGGATTGTTTTATAATAAACTGGATTACCCTAAATTTTGTAACACTTTCACTTTCCGAGTGGATTTTATTACAGAGGTAATTTTGATTTACCTCTGTACCTTTGATTTAACAGTATGGTTATTATTTGACATTACTCTGTTTATGAGGTTTATGTGTGAACATCTCAAATCTATTTCTCAGGTTGTAAAGTGGATCCTGCCAATCATCTAACCAGATAACTCTGGATTAAAGCACTTTTCTTAAGTGATAGACCTATCAAGGGAGGACTGGGAGAGTGAAACAGACAGACAGCTCTATTAGTGTATAGCCATTTTCTGTTAGTCAGCAGCCCTTCTGGTGAGGGGAGTGGATCCTGGGAATTTGGTCAGTCATTCTTCTATATGCTCTCCCTACTCTGGGGGTCCTGACCTCTCTGTAGCCCCCATGCTCATCAACCACTGCCCAGCCAGTGTGGCTCCAGACATTCATATCAGACCCAGGATTAATGCTTCTAAGGGAGGTGACCTTGTAAATCCTACAGCTGCCACCATTGGGCACCTTGGTCTGACTGGCAAGCAGAGATCCCTTTACATCCCAAAACAGTGGGAGATAAACGAAATAAATCAGACAACCTGCCCTAACCTCCTCACCCTTACAACTATCTACCTTTGACCCCAGACTTCATGCATTAATGCGGTCAGCGTGGTTCTATTTACAGAAGGACCGCATCAGTGGTAGGAAGACCATCACTGAGGAGCAGACGTAACAAACTCATGTTTACACAACAATAACTACAAAAAAGTCGGGGTGTGGTAACCTCTGATGACCTAACACACTCTCTGTGACCTCACTTAAGTTCAAACTCTGATGAAAACCCCTTAAAAAAGCATTGATACTCATCAAGTGTTTTACAATGACAATTTTTAATGTATTGTGTCTAGTCTAAAGCACCTTTTAATCTGATACCGCAGAACAAAATCCACTGCCTTTAATCACACCTAACAGTAAATAATGCACTTGTGTGTTAGTTGTGTTACAGTATGGTGTTTGTGTTTAAAATGTGCTGCCCCCACAAAGAAATTTTTAGCAAAACCACATTAAATACAGGAAGTTAATAAAAATGTAACTTAATAATAACACTGAAATTAAAGGATACTTTATTCTGTAATTAGGTGTTGGCAGTCAGTTTTAATGGATTTATTGATGGAACCCAGAATAAACATTATTTGCAATTATTTACATTAATGCCAAAAAAAAAAACACACTTTGCACCTAAGGACAATTTAGAGATGCCAATTAATCTAACAGTCAGGTTTTTGGACTGTGGCAGGAAGCCAGAGTACCCGGAGAGAACCCACGCTTGCACAGAGAGAACATACAAACTCCATGCAAAAAAAACCCGGGCTGGGAATGGAACCCAAACCCACTGTGCTGCAAGGTAGCAGTGTTACAAACTGTGCAGCCCATGTTCATAAACATTTCTTTTAAAAACTTGATATCAATTAATTTTCGGGATGTGTTATGGCCATTTGAGTATGCATTATTTGTCAGCCTTAAAACCATGAAACAATGCAATACTTTAGCTTACCTCTGATTTCTCAGGTCTGTTTTAGTATTCTATGACCTCCGGACAAATTTAGATAAATTAGAACACATAAAACCTAGAAAAACCTGGATTGGATTAGAAAATATAAAATATAAAAATGTTTAAATATTGCATTTGAGTGCAAGAGAAGCCTGAGAAAATAAGAAATTTGGTAAACTCGCTAAGATCAAATGCAATAGGCTCACCTGGGACTGCTCTATTTCTGCTTTATTTAGCTTGACACCAAGGATTTCAGCAGCTACTCGCTGGAAACAAAGGTGAACCTGCAAGAAGATTGAAACAAAAAAATAAAGCATCCAAAATTTGACTAAAAACAATAAAGGTGACTCATCAAAGGAAGGTTATACAAACCGAATCACCCGTCTTTGCCGATACAAACTGACTGATGAGGCCATTTTCCTGGCAGAAGCGCTGGTGTTTGTCTGCCTTTATGGTCCTCATGTGCTCCAGGTCGACTGAAGAGAAAAGATGGCCTGATGTGAGAAATCTTACAGAAGATAGATGCGTAGATTTATATGGTGATTACGCAGTACTCTCACAAGGTTAACATATCAGAACATAAACAGAAAGGATAACTGTTTACGACTGTTAACATGGGTTAAGATGGAAGATGCCTGCCTACTGTTCAGACAAGGTGCACATAAAGTCACTTAAAAAAAAAGACCTTTCAACTGTCATTTTCTTCCCTAACCTTCTACTGCAGAGGGTTTTGAAGTTAATTTAATGCTGGATTTTAAGGAGGTAATTATAATCTTTATAGCCTAGAGCTAGTATTCCCAGCTGGTGCTAAAGCTGGACTTTACACATTCCTTATAAGTGAAGCACATTTCAACCCCGAGGCCATGAACCTCTTTTTGACTCAAAAAGAAAAAGCAGCCCATCTGTGCTGAAAAGCATAAGAAACAATACATGAATGAGCAAAGACTTGAGGCTACGCTCACACTGAGAGTTTAGATGGAGAACAGAGTTTGACTTATGACCACTCTGGGCCTTTAAGGTGGGTGCAAGAATCAAGAGCTGGGACCATTACCTACACACCGTTCCAATGAGAATGCACAATGACAGCATCCTTTTTACCTATTGTGAAGATCTTCCTGTGTATCTGACTCCTGTGCAATGATACCGAAAGCTTTCCTGCTCTTTCTCCCCATCCTGAGGGGGTCATGCAGGGGTCGATAAGGAAGGTCACCTGGGGGTCCTGAAGCTGAAAGCAATAGCTCCATTCTTTTTTGCTGGCTTTGTGCTGGAAGGTGGCCACGCCCGGTATCTGGTGCATACATTTCTGTGTTACCTTGGGGAGGTCAGACTACTGTAAGGTGTTGCATTTCTCCAACTCCGGCTCTGAGTTTTACTCTTTGTTTGAAGTTTCATTGAAGTTGTCAAGGATTTAGCCTGTTCTCATGCCCCTCAGAGTGCATTTGAGAAAAAAGTGTATGAGAGGGTGGCTGGAATAAAGGCAAAAGTAGAGAATGGCAGAGATGTCTGGCAAGAAATGTAAACCCTGCAACAGGAAGAACGCCTATACACATAAAGCCTTTCTTATAATGGATTAATGTGCAGGGCAGACTGTCACATCTGTAGCCATGCATAAACATTGTCAGCTCTTAGGCATCAGCACCCAGCACGCTACAAGAAGTAAACCGTCTTAATCCTTTGGATCCTGCAGCACTTGGGAAAAGTAATTCATCGTGCGTCGCACTCAGATTAACCCATATTAACACTATAGACTGTGAGTCAGGGGAGACACACGTTAGGTTAATGCAGCAGAGTTCCACCCATGGATGTGTGCATCAATGGCTATCTCTAAGGTGATAAAAATCATAAAATTGTTACATAATCTGCTTTTATATAGTATTAACAGATTAGCTGACCTGGCCAATTGATGACACTGTCAGGAATTATTTTATTGTCATTACATTATTTTTCTCTCTGAAACTATAACTAAAGTTGGTAACATTTTTTCTTTGCATCAGTGAGTGTGAGAAAATCCCCTGGCTGCTTTCTCTTTGTTCATTCAATCTCTTTTGTTTAATCCTTTACCTACACAGGAAAATCTCTTAAGAGTCCCTGTCTCATTTAAAGAGAGCTGTTACATAGATTAACAGCAATAACATAAAAACACTGGTAACACTAAAATGATGACACTAACAATACTAACAGAAAAACATACAATCCACTAAGTTTGTCTAAAGAGAAGTGCATCCAGACCAAATTTACCAATACTTTTGTAAAAAGGTTGACTCCCTAGTGTGACAAACTGAAGATTTCAAGGTCCTTTAAAACAGAAAGATGAAAAAAGTATAATTCTTTGTCTGCTGAACAGGATTGAAATCTTTTATAAACTTTTAAAATGTCAACACATTCTTAAGCAAGGAGTAGCTCACATCTAAAGAGACGAAGCAGTCATCAGAAAACACTATACCACTGCATGTCTTTTTTAAATCTTTAGAATGGACTCAGTGAGTAAGACTTGTTTTCCATCTCCTACTTGGTCCTTTAATCAGCTCCAACAGAAGTTTTTCTATTTGATTGATCTTGTGCCAGTGTGTGCAAACATTATGCTGCCAACCAAATGTAGGATTTAAATCACTTTAATTTGTGTAGAACAGAAATTATCTTTATTATTATTCATGCATATTGGTGCAGAAAAACATCACATCAACTATTTCCAAAAATAAAACAATATATACAAAAAGAGCTGGAATATGAAAAGTTAGTTGGAACAGTGATGGTTGAAAGTCTACATTCAGGAAGAATCTGCATTTAGGATGCAGTAGTCTGTCACTTGGGGAGCTCTCTAGCTCTTCAGCATCATCATTATTGGGATGGGACACAATAATGCCATTTGGCTATCATGCTATTTAGCATGACATCTGACTGCATTAAATTTGAAATAAAGTGAATATTTTTTTGAGTTTGTCCTACTATCAACTAAACTCCTCAAATTATTCAAACACTGAATCATCAAACTTTTATTTATAAATGCATAAATAGAAAGGGCTTCATGTTATTGATTCTCATAATGTTGGTGATAGGACTTTATGCATTTATGTAATGTGCAAACCTTGGTTTAGATTATACCTTGAGATAAGCTCTAGCATATGCAGTATATGAAATATATAGCCAATCATGTTAAAAAAAATAGCTGTATCCTGGGTAAATCTATATTATTGTTAGATTTTCTTTAAATTCACATCCCAAGAAGAAAGAGCTAAATAGATCACATAAAAAAGGTTAAAAAAAAAATAGAAAACTATGTGTCTTTAAAATATAGTAAAGAAGAAGAAAGCATATTTTCTACAGAAATATATAAATCAATCTACTGCTCTACACCAAAAATACTTCATAAACGTTTTTATTTCTCTCACCGTGTAAATATTGAGTAATAAGCACAGAAAGGATCAAGTCCTAAAGAAAGTTAACATTAAGGTCCAGGCACTTTAAAATGTGGAGCTTTAAAGGTAGTTGTTTGATCAAGTGTGATGATTGAGCCTTTTCCATTTTAAAGCCGCACACCACCTTACAAATTAAATGAATCAGTTCTTGATTGGGTGTGTAATGAGCAGTTTCCATTGCTGTTTAGTAGCACATCATTACAGAACTTCATGTTTCACCAAGATTTGTGAAAAAAAGCCTAATTTGACATCTTGCATATGGTGAGAATGCTGTTTAAATCGTGTTTATCCTGCTGACCAAATTAAGATTATCCTTAGTTCTATGATCAGTAAGGATCACTGCCAAAAAGCACATATGTAGCCCCAATTGGTTACAGAATAATATCTATTTTCTTACCTTAAATATTTTAGCCTGTGGTCTGTGTAAACTAATACAAGGCTAATCCTAGAGTTTTAGTGTTTTGCTCCATTTTTCTCCCTAATGTACCTCTTTCTACTTATCAGGTCAAAACAATCTTACTCAAGTGATCTGGTTTGCCTCCGTTTCTGTCAAACTGTACATCAGCTTAACAGCCTCTAGGAAGTGACTGCAAACACGAAATAAACTGTTTAGGCCCCTGAGCGAATAGAGATAGTACAGCGGATCATCACTCGTCATGAGCGATTACCCTCTCTCTCTCTCTGGTCACCATCAGTGTTTATTTAAAAGTTCTGCCTGTGGTTGGGCTAAATTACCAGACAATGGTTGGAGATTAATATCTGCTGGATGAATTAGGCTTTTACCGTAAATAATTGGTTTGTTATAGCAGTGACCTATTAAATGAGGGTAAACCCAATAAGAGGAAAATATCCCGCTACATGATACAGCCCAGTCTTGATCTGAGCTGAACTCCTTCAGGGAGAAAACCCACTCACTGGCAGAGTCAATCCTCCTGAAATCAGGCAGACATGGAAAAGGGTTTTTGCTTCTCCTTAAGACTTTAAATCAGCAAATAAAATGGATTAATAACCAGGCTACTGCTGCTTAGATTACTACTACAGTGTGAAGATATGAGTTTAATATTCAGTAACAGATTTTTATGTTTCTTAAAAACACAATTTATAAAATTAAGAGAAACTAAAACATTTAAGCACAACCCTTAGAAAACACATAAAGCCCACAGTTAGAAAACAAACTTTTAACAGTTAAGCCAAAAAAACCATTGTCTTTGAACCAAGTTTGATTCTGGCAGGAAATAGGACAGGCATAACCCAAAAGTTAATACATTTAGGTTTAAGTTAAAAAGTTTAATAACTTTTAGCTTAAAGTATCCTTATTTCCTTTTGATCAAAAAGCTGTTAGGAAGTATCTATACAATTCTCAATTAAAAGTTGACATATTTTTACTTTTAAATCAGCTTTCTACATGTTTCTACCCAACTGTTGACAATTTATTCGTCACGATGAGCTGAAAGTCCTTTTGTTTCAGGTAATAAATGTGGACCATTCCAGAATGTTCACTTTACTTCCTATTAGAAGAGCCTTGGTGGTAAAATGAGAAAAAAAAAAAAAATAATCTAAATAGTAACGGATGGGTAAAAACGATCAAGATAAAAATAATTCAGGGGTCAACAGTCAGTGAGTCCTAAATAATTGTTACAAGTTATCAAATTTGATGATCAAGAAAAAAAAATGTGTTGTGGAAAGATTTTAAGAATGCACAAAGACATTTTGGCTGCAACTTGGTCCAACTGTATTTATTTAAAATCATCTTCTGCATCTTCGGCTTCGCCCTGCAATCTGATTCTAAAAATCCCATTCTGTAAATACTTCCTTCATCAACACCAGGAGGTTGTATTGGGTAATGCTAATTCAGAACACTACCGAAGGGGCTTTATACTCTACAAAATATACTCTGCAATTTTCAGATTATCTTGTAACCAAACATACAAACTGAGAAAGCAAAGGGAGCATTTGGGGCATTTTTCAGTATTTCATTTATGCTCAATATTCTAAAGCGGAGTTTACCAAATACAAATTAGAAAGACATGCACCCTTGACCCTCACTTGTTAAAGCCAAA